TATTATTATTATTAAAATTTTATAAATAATTTGGTATCAATAAACATGAATGTAGCGGCAAAGGCAATTTTTTTTCGCTACGAAAAAATTTAAATAATGGAACTAGATGTACGAGACGCTGAGAGAATTCCTAAGCCAGGAGTTAGTCCAACAACTTGAATGGTTTTTGAGATGCATGCCAAAGATTTGTACAAAATCATTGGATTCATCGAGTGTTGCCAGAGCCAGCAGTTACGACAGGAGTATCTAAATCAAATCTGTAACCAAATGAATTACTCATCAAAATTTATTTCAAGTAAATATATAAATTAATAATATCAGTTTTAATTACTTCAATATTGATTTTACCTGTTCGCAACAGAAATAAGGTCCTTGTTGCACGTATTCGACAGAGTAAGCAGAATCTTCAAGGTACAGGTCAAGTTGGACATTTGAAAATTTCACCGTTTTTATTTCAATGAAAGCTACAGTAACAGCTTCTCTGTACGAATGTTTGCTACTACATGTAAGAGGAGCTGAGTTAATTGGATACTTCTGTTATCATAATAATAAAATAATAATAAGATGGTGCACATAAATTCGATGGCATTAATATCACCATGTAAAACTACAAAATTGATAATAGAAATAGCGTTAACTAAAAGTGTTAAACTTATTTTTCCAGGCGTGATTCTACAGCCACCAGAATACTATTATGCAATGGAAGTTTTTCATGAAATTGATGTAGTGTTTGAATAGTAGAGAATCGTATGAAAATCTAACTATTGCCTTGGTCTTCATGACGAAACTTTTGAAAAATTTCGATATATTTTGACTCGGCTCGTCAACTAATTTAGAAAATAATACATATGGCTTAAAAGTTTATATAAGTATGTATATATATGTTTAAATAAAAATTACATTCTCCTATCTTTTTATTAAATGCTGTTGCATTTTGGTTATTTTTTTCGAAATTATTGAAACTTTTAATTGATTAAGTGTGTTCTCTATGCTACAATCAAATGGTCCAGTGACTTTCAACTATTGTGTTCTCACAACTCAAAGAGGATTTAAGTTTGCTCATCAATATCATTCTGACTTAAATTTTTGTCAAATAAAATTTTTGACGTTTGCACATATGACAGTGTGATTTTATAGACGAAAATTTCCAGGTATAGTATCATAAGAAATCTATAATATCGATTGAATTAGACTTGTTTTGCAGTCGGTAACGCGGCTGAATTTTTTTAAACGTATGACGTTAGGGAAACATCACGTTTAGACCCTTGAACGATTTACAAATGGCACGCTTGTGATGCTATCGCTTTTAGAAGCTTTACATTTTTGAAATATAACGTTTCTTAACATGAATGTTCTTTAGACATCACATTTCTAGCATATACATTTTAGGATTAAGTAACGTTTATGAAAACTAATTTTCGGCAAGTATCACATTTCTTAAATGTGCTTATCTCGATATCAGACGTTTGGGATAGTGCACCTTACTAAAAACATTACGTTTTGTATAGTCTCTGTTAGGACTAAGTTGTGGCACCTGGACTTCGTAGGTAAATTATTCAAAAAAAAATGAAAGGTAGTGAAGGGCAATTGTCCGTGCGTCATCGCATTTTCTAATTCTTGGAAATCAAGGTACTTTCATGAGTAGTTTCGAAATTTACCTTGACTCTTCAATTTGGAATAGAAAATGAGATGATACTTTCACTGTATTATGAATACAAAAATAGGTAAAAGTCATTGAAAAATTGAAAGGTATTGACAAAAAAAATAGAAATCCGAAAATTAGAAAGGGTGTCATCAAATCTTTGGAAAGTTAGGCCAGATTACTCTTCTACAGACTTCAAGGGTATGATAAATTGTAAATTAAAAATAAAAAGTTGCATATTTTTAGAAGAAAAACAAAAATTTTTGATTTTAGCAGACGTCACACAATTTTGCAGCATATGCACATTGAACCTAGAGACACGAAATCTCTATCAGGACCTTTTAGCTGCTAAAATCGCATACTTCAACGGGGTGAAGAATATTAATGTGGAGGTAGCACCCTTAATGCATTGGATGATGGAAGCGTCAGCAAGAAAAGGATTCCGTATGGTCTGCCCAGATCTGCCACACTGCCGTAATGCCCTATGTCTAAGACTCCGATAATGTCTAAGATTCCGATAATAATAATAATAATAATAATAATAATAATAATATTGATTAAAATACGATACAAATACTTAAAAATATTTCGCACCACTGTACAAATAAATATAAGCTGAATAAATATTAATAAATTTGAAAACCCAAAAGTACACGCCTCATAATCTCATTTTCCATTAAAAAATTGACGTTTGACACCCGGACGTCTATAATATTTTTTTTTATTTATTTAAAAATCAAAATGTCATTTAAAAATATCTTAAGTGTTTAAATTAGTGTTTTTCCGATAATAATAAAGTTAGTTGTAACATTTTTAATTTTTTTATTTTGCTTAATTTATTAATTTACAACTAATAAATATTTTTGAAGAATTGCACTTATAATAGTTTTTCAAGTTTTTAACATGTGATATTTTTTTTTTTAATTGTTTAATTAAAATTTTTTCGATAAAAAATTTCTAAAAATTTTGAAATGTCAGCTGTAGTAAAATTTTAGTAAAAGCTGTTTAGTAAAAGCACATAACACGTGACTGTATATATGTAATAAATACACACTACACACGTGATATTATATTCTTATATACATCATAACATCAAGTTTATTAATTGTCACCGGCGTCAACCTGTCATTAATTAATTAACTTGTCATAAACTAAATAATAATTAATAATATGGAGACTCCTGATGAATATTTTAGCAGTTATGAAAATTTTGAGGTAAGTAATATCATATATTATATTAATTTTTACTAAAAAAATATTAAAAAACTAACCTAACTTTTTAGGACAATTTTAATAATTATAATATTGATTATTTAGTCGACAATTAATTAATTAATAATATTATTTTAGGTCCATGGATTAATGTTGAGTGACAATCCTCGTATGACAGCTTATAAAAATGCTATTTTAGATAAAAAAGATTTATTTCATAATAAAATTGTAATGGATGTTGGATCTGGTACCGGTAAATATATATATCAAAATAAAGTTAGCTGATATTTCAAAATTTTTAGAAATTTTTTATCAAAAAAATTTCAATTAAACAATTAAAAAAAAATTGTCACATGTAAAAAACTTGAAAAACGATAAGTGCAATTTTTTAAAAATATCTTTTAAGTTGTAATTTAATTAAAAAAAAAAAAATCAAAAATTTTTAGACGTCTGCTAAATTTAGTGTCATAAATTATTATGACATTAAAGTTAGCTGTCGCATGATTAATTTTTAATTTTATTTAACAATTGAATTAATTCTAAAAAATTATTTTTAAAAAATTGCGTTTTTAATTTTTTTAAATTTCTACATGTCAATTTTTTAAATATTTTTTTTTTGCCATAATTTATTTGTTAAAAAAAATTATTAAATATTTGCTAACTTTATTATCGTAAAATTATTTTGTTCAAGGAATTTTATCTATTTTTTGCGCGCAAGCTGGAGCAGCTAAAGTATACTCAGTAGAAGCAAGCAAATTATCAGAACTAATTGAACAAGTAGTTGATGAAAATAATTACAAAGAAGTTATTAAAATAATTCCTAGTAAACTAGAGGATATTAAACTGGAGATAAATGAAAAAGTAGACATTATAGTTTCTGAGTGGATGGGCTTTTATTTAGTTCACGAAGGAATGTTGGATACTATTTTGACAGCTCGTGATAGGTTTTTAAAATCAGACGGACTTATTTTTCCTTGTATTGCTAAATTGTACGCTGTACCATGTCAAGTTCCTTCTTTATTTGAATTTTGGGAAAATATTTATGGAGTTAAAATGACGTGAGTATTATTTTAAAAAAATATTTTTAATTTTAATTTTTATATTTTAAGTTCAAGGGTTTTTTCTTCTTAATTTTTACTATTGATTTAATTTTTTATTTTAATAGATGCATTGGTAAAGCAATGAGAGAACAAAAATCATCAAAACCCGAAATAATTTTGGTTGATCCAAAAGACATAATCGCTGAAGAAAAAATCCTCGCGTGGATTGACTTGAAAACCGCGACGTCAGACGACTTGAATACAATTGGTGGCCAGGATTTAGTATTTCCGTCCACTAAAAACGGCAAATTCGAGGGAGTTTGCATCTGGTGGGACGTCGAGTTTCATGATGATCTGATTTTATCAACCGCACCTTCCGAACCCCCTACTCACTGGAAGCAAACGCTGATTACGCTGCCAAATAATTGCCAAGTTGAACAAGGAGAACCGATTGCGTTTCGTGTTACGCTAAATCGTAATAATGATAGGCGCAAATATAATTTAGAGTTAGTGGTTTTGAACCCTGATGAAACTGATCATGACTTGCCGTGTAGTTGTTATTTTACGAAGTGTATTGTCGCGAGAGAGTATCTTAAACATCATAGCCAAGAAATAGACACGAATAATGGGTTCGAATAAGTAAGTGGATTTTTTGTTTGAAATGTAAAAGGTGAAAAAATAAAATAAATATTTTTTATTTTTTACAAAATATCATTATTATTATTATTACTTTTATTATTAAAAAAATTTTTTTATCATTTTTTATTTTTATTATTATTATTAGTAATGAAAATTTTTTTAATTAATAATAATAATAATAATACGATATTTTTTATGAAAACTAAATTATTATTATTATAGAATGAAAATTTTTTTTTCGCATTTATTATTACTGTTATTATAAAAAATTAGTGTTTTTCTTACCCAGGGCAGGAAAATAAGAAATGTCTCAGATTACATGTAATTGTTGACGCTTCGTTATGGTGACGTCGTTATAGACGCTTCGTATTAATCACAGTGATTGAAGCGACAAACATGTGATCTGAGGCTTTCTTATTT